AACATTGAGAAGAATGGGAATTTCAGAACACTTAATTGTACTTATGAGGAACCTGTACATAGACCAGAAAGCTGTCATTTAAACAGAACAAGGGGACACTGCATGGTTTCAAAGAAAGAAGGGAGTGTATTAGGGTTGTATCCTTTCACCATACCTATTCAATCTGTATGCTGAGCAAATAATCCATGAAGCTGGACTATATGAAGAAGAACATGGCATCAGGATTGGAGGAAGAATCATTAACAACCTGTGATACTCTGATGACACAATTTTGTTTGCTGAAAGTGCAGATGACGTGCACTTACTGATAAAGACTGAAGAATACAATCTGCAGTATGGATTACATCTGAAAACAAAATTCCTCCAACTGGACCTATAAGTAGCATCAGGATAAATGTGAAGTTGTCAAAGACTTCACATTGCTTGGTTCTACAGTTGACACCAATGGAAGCAGCAGTCCGGACATCAGACAATGTATGTTGTGTGCCATCGAGTCAGACCCAACTCATAGCAACCCCTCTTTAGGTTTCCCAGGCAGTATCACTACAGCAGTAGATTACCCAATCTTCCTTCCGAGGAGTGGCTGGTGGGTTTGAACCACCAGCCTTCTGGTTAGCAGTCAAATGCCTTAGGCACTATGCTACCAGAGCCCCCATGGAACGAGTAGGTGTAATTACATTCCCCTTTTTTTTTATGGAACTTATCTAGCCACGTGTAGGTAACTGTTTAACAGCTGGATTCCAGGGCAGCCCTGATTGGTAGTTTTTGCCAATTTCTGTGGTGTAAATATGACCACAATTGGTAATTTCAAGCTATGGACAGGATGTCCCAGAACACAAGTTAAGAAGTGATAGAAACAACAGATACTTACAAGCTGGTATGAATCAGTATCAGCACACCACTGAAATACTTTTAACCCTTTATCATAGTTTTTATATTTGTCTTACCTCCCCTTCTCAATAATGAAGGAACTCTGGTGGCATAGTGGATAAGGTTTTTGGCTGCTAACCAGAAGGTCAGTTGTTCAAACCCACCAGCCACTCCATGGGAGGAAGATTCAGCAATCTACTGCCATAAAGATTTACAGTCTTGGAAACCCAATGGGGTCGCTATGAATCAGAATCAACTCGCTGGTAGTGATTTCAGTTTGGTTCTCAAGAATACACTCCTTGAAAATAGAATCTATCTAATTATTTTTGGATTCCAAATGTCCTAGGAGCATTGCCTTACACATAGGCATTAAGTAAATGTTGAAGATATGTATGGATAGATGAATTGTTACTAATTATATTTTGATATTACTTGATATGCCAAGTATTTGACTTTACTGAAATTAAAAAAGAAATTTTTTCCATTGACATTAGTTCTTAAACTGGAGGACATACTTTTCAGGATTTCAAATCATTCATTTCTTTTGAAGGCACATAGACAGTTGAGTAAAAGTACCTTTATATTCATTAACTTTAGTTTAATCCTCAGTGAAGAGAAGAGAGGAAGAAAGAAAAATTTTTCAAGGGGTAGGACAGTAAAAGATGACTTTTGCCAATGAAGGTCTAAAATCCGATCTCACTTCTTTTGAGCTTCTTCTCCTCTCTTCTTCTTCCTGCCTGATTCTGTCACCTCTTCCTCTTGATTCATTGCTTAAAGTTTAAGATCAAGAAAAATGGGTCTTAGTTAATCAGAAAAAAAAAATCCTACTGTAAGTAATTAACTACAACATAAACTTTACTTTTTCGTCAATTTCCTGAATCCTTATCAAAAATACATTTAGTCAACTGTCATTATTATTTAAGTTTACCCTTCTTCAGGACGAGCTCTGCCTTTTGTATTTTAGTAATGGTTCTAAATTTTCCCCTTGTAAAGGAAGGCAAGGAGCCCTGATGGTTCCGTAGTTAAGCAATTGGCTGCTAACTGAAAGGTCAGCGGTTTGAACCCACCAGTTGGTCCTCAGAAGAAAGATGTGTCAGTCTGCTTCAGTGAAGATTTACAGCTTTGGAAACGATGTGAGACAGTTCTACTCTGTCCAATAGGGTCACTTTGAGTCTGAATCAACTTGATGGCAAAGAGCTGTGTTTGGGTTTAAGAGAGGGCAAGTAAGAGCACAGACATACAACAGGTATGTTAATATATTCACTAACCTCTCCTTTTAAAGGATAGATCAGAATCACTAAATCAAGAGAGGTTTGGGTTATATTTTGTTTTAATTTATCTTTTATAGGCCCTCTTTTTAGTAATGTAAGTAAAAAATGGATGCAAATTTTTCATAACTGTATAGTAGGCTTCCTATTGGATCAAACAAACAAGCAAACAAACAAAAAAAAAAACACTGCCATCAAATTGATTTTGGCTCATAGTGACCCCTATTGCATTTCCAAGGCTGTAAATCTTTATGGACGTCAACTGCCTCATTGTCTTCCCACAGAGCAGCTGAGGGGGGGGGGGTGGTGAACCACTGATCTTCTGGTTAGCAACCAACTGCTTTACCCACTATGCCACCAGACCTCCTTTCCTCTTGGATAGGTGTTCAAATATATCTAAAATACTAATTTCTCCTTTTCATTCGAGTTGAAATGATGTCATTGCAGTAGTGAAATTGGTGTGTGTTTAACTGCAAGAAGAAAAATCTGTTATGCAGTATGAAAACCAAAGTAAAGATTACATTCTATGGGGATTTTTTAAAAAATCTTGTTATAAATATTAAATTATTACACTATTTTTGAAATACTAATGATTTGTGTATTTTTTTTTCAAGTGAAAATGATCTTTCTGCTATAGTGAATTTTCTTGTGTTTTTTTTAGAAGCTGTGCATCTTGAAAACCAAGGTAAATCAATTTTTATAATAGAAAATGTACATTACAGTATTGAAAACAAGACTGAAGTGCTATGGATTTTCTAATATATGTATAGTATTGATAGGTGTACTTTTTTTTTTTTTTTGCTCAAATACCTTTTGCTGTGGTAAATTTTTTTTGTTTTTGTTTATTTTTATAGGCCTTGAACCTGAGGCACAAGGTAAAATTTTTATTAAATTCTTGGGATATTGCAAAATTGAAACAAAACTAAGGTACTTTTGTTGTCCCATATTTTAATGTAAATATTAACTTAGAGTGTTTCATGAGAGATATTTTCTTATTTATTTACATAAGCAAAATGTCCCCAAATCTAGCTCTTTGGGATCACCTTTTCTTTTTCATGTAAAATGACTCAAGTTCTCAGTCTTCAAGTTCATGACCCTTCTCAGGATTTCTTGGAATTTCTGTAACATGGTCAAGGTCGTTCCTTGCTCAGGACTTCATGACTTCTCAGTATTCTCTCCCTCTCATCATTTTGCCCTCCAAGTTTGTTGTTCTTCTCCCCCTTCTTTATTTCTTTTCTCCCTCCAGTTTTCCCTTCCTTCCCCCTTTCCTTTTCTTCGTTTCTTCTTTTGGAAGGGGGTGCGTAAACCATACTCCTCAGTTCATAGCACACTATCATCATTGGTCCAGGCCAGACCACTCTCGTTTTACTTTTTAATTCTCCTTTATCCCTATGCCTTAGACTTATTCCCCTCCCACCCCACAGGCAACAACTTTAATATGTTTTAATGTTTTCAATTTTTGTTGTATGCATTCTGATGCAATGTGTTTGGTTATTTTGTGAGCATATACTTTTCATTCACATAGTATTGTACTGTCGATATTATTTTTCTTCTCATAAAGCATTACATTTTTAAGATCTGTTCATGTTTCTATTTGTTCCTCTAATCTGTTGCTTTCAATTGGTGCATAAAATATTCTCTGGTGTTCTCCTTTCCCAGTAATGAGCTCAGCCATATAATCATACTGCAATGAATATCAGTGTATTGGAGGATATTTTTGGCAACTGCTGAGTCTGTGAATAGCATGCACTTAATTTAATTAAAGGAGCTCTGGTAGCATAGTGCCTAAGGCACTTGACTGCTAACCAGAGGGCTGGCAGTTCAAACCCACCAGCCACTCCTCGGAAGGAAGGTTGGGCAATCTACTTCCATAGTGATACCACCTTGAAAACCCAAGGAGGGGTCGTTATGAGTCGGGACCGACTCGACGGCACGTAACAACAACAACAACAACAATTTAATTAAGTAGTTCCCGGATGTTCTTTGGCATAGCTGTACCAGTTCACATTCCTACTAATAATGCCTGCGGGGTCTCCTACCAACATGTGTCATTATCTTGCTTTCTAATTTTGCTAGTCTCATAGTGTAAAATAACACGGCACTGTTTCTTAATTTGTACTTCTCTATTAATCAATGATTTTTATTTTCTTTACGCACAGTAAAAATGAAATCATCCCATATAACTTCAAGGGAAAGTTTAAGGAAGCAAAGGGAATTGTTTTTGTTTTTGTTTTTCCTTTTGACTTCTGTATCCCAGATGGCTAATACTAACCATGCCTAATACTGAAACTAGTGTAATATATCCTTCTTTATGTTCAAAGAAGAGAGTTTTTAATGTCAGCTCAGGACTCATTTGGTCAGTGTTGGTGACTATTCCTTATCTTACATAAAAAATAAAATCAAAGGTTGAAATCAAGTTGATTTAGACTCATGGAGACCCCATGTGTTATAGACAGGGCTTCAAAACAGTTCAAAACAGTTCAGTCATGGCCTATGGAACAGGGCAGTGTATGTGTTACACAGCAAATAAATCTCTTGCACATTGGATTTTGATCCAAGTAGGAAACAGGCAATGATGCCTTGCTCAAAGATGGTGGCCAAATGCACCACTTTGATTGTGGTCAGCCACCATCTTTAACTGGGGCACTAGTACCTGCTTCCTACCCAAACTCATTGCTGTGCAGTTTATTCTGATTCATAGAGAATCATAGGACAAGAGTAGAACTGCCTCAGAAGGTTTCCATGGCTGTAAATCTTCATGGAAGCAGATTGCCACAACTTCTCCCATGGAGCAGTTGGTGGGTTTGAACCACCAACCTTGCAGACTCTTTTAGTTTATGCTAGCAATAGTATCTAGGTAGTTCATCTTAAGCCTTCTCAATTGCCCAGCAACAGAAAAGAAATAAGATCACATGCTTTGGGGATTTTGTATAGTCTTTTTTAAAGAAAGGACAAGTGTAACCCTTTCATGACCCATGGTACATATAGTGTCCACCCACATTTTCTTTCTCTGGGGTTTACTGTGAAGCTGCAATGACAGTTTTAGTGCATGTTGCCATGAGGGAGGGTGAGCCTCATCCCACTAATCACAGCACTAGAGAGGACAGGACATATGTATCCTATTAATTGTTTCAAGATCCATATTAACACTGCCATCTAGTCAGTCCCGACTCATAGTGACCCCTCTTTGGGTTTCTGAGGCAGTATCACTATGGAGGTAGATTGCCCAGTCTTCCTTCCGAGGAGTAGCTGATGGGTTTGAACCACCAGCCTTCTGGTTAGCAGTCAAATGCCTTAGGCACTACGCCTTCCATTACTGAAAACATGGTTTCAACAAAAATTCAAAGCAGAAAATAATTCAGTCTATTGAGACAGAAATGTATTATCAAAGTTTAAAATATTTTAATGATTTAATTTTACTATAAACACAACTTTAAACATTGGAACTTTTTGCTTTATTATAGAAGAATTGGAAATCTTGACAGCCGATATGGATGCGGGTAAGTTAAATTATACTCCTTTACTAGTGACTGGATTAAGTTTGCATTTTACTGCCGTGTGTGTGTGTGTCTACATATACATTTGATGTAAGCAATAATTAACTTTTATATCAATTAAGTTGAAAATATATCATTATTCTTCTTTCCCTATGACTTTTAAGAAAAACAAGCATAAATGCTTCTTGAGAATTGCTTTTTAAAAATGGGTTATTTCACAGAATAATCAACTGTGTAAGACCAAAAGGACACCAGTTTCTCAAAGTTCAGAAGGCAAGAAGGAGCAGGAAAGATGAGTGAATGGAAACAGGGAACCCAGGGTGAAAGCAGGTAGTAGTGCTGGCACATCGAGGGGACGGTAACCAGTGTCAGGAAACAAGCTCTGTGTACAGTGCTGAATGGGAACCTAATTTGCTCTGTAAACTTTCACCTAAATCACAATAAAGTGTTATAAAAAGAAAACTGAAAAAAAAAAAAAGTTATTTCATATGGCTAGTTTTGAAGTGAAAACAACACTGTATAACCACATAAGGTTTTTCTGTTTATGAGCTTTGCCAAGTCAGTCTTATAAAAAACAACCAGATTTCAAACATGATCCATGTTTTGACATAGAAAAATACATTTTGAAATAGAAAAATAATCAAATTTAATTCAGTTAACCTATTCTTTCACAATACTTTTAACCATTTATAACAGAAAGCCTGTTTCCTTGGAAGGTAGTAACTGCAGAGAACTTTCAGGTCAGACAGACCTGCATTAAATCCTGACTCAGTTATGTGTTGGTTAGGTAACTGGGTAACTTAACCTCAAATAAATGGGGAATAAAATAGATGCTATTTTGGGGGATATAGGGTTTAAATCCAGGAGAGAGCCCCTCCTACTTGCCAGCCCCCAAATTATTTAACAGTTGTTTGGTTTTTTGTTTTGTTTTGTTTTTTAAAAAATCTGGCAATGTGTTAACAATTTAGAATTCAAAGATACAGCTATCAGTCAGAAGGGCTTTTTCAACAAAGGCTCTTTACTTTCTACTCAAGATAACAATAATTTTCAGATACTACCCAACTGGTTTCACAGCCCTCAAAGGAAGAAGCATCTCTTCTCAAAAGTTCAAACCAAAATTCAAGACTTAACAATACACTATTCCCCAACTCAGTTCTTGGACCAAAAAAAAAAAAAAAAAAATCTATGTACATTAATTCATAATTTCATTTTCTTGGAGAGTTGCCTCCTGCTTACATGCCCAAAATGGTTGACAGTGATACTTAAACTTCCTTTCTCATGTAGGGTTCCACAGGTATAAAGAAGCAAACTCGCAAAAGTGTTCCTGACGTGGTGAACTACATAAAGAGAATAAAGAGAGCATCTCCTACTTTTACTTCCTCATGACTTCTCTCATCATGTCTTAAACTTTCTATACCACATTTTTCCCAGTGATAAAGAAGACACTTGTGAAAAGTCATGGAGGAAGGAAACATTGTCACATGTAAATGACTAAAAACATCCCCTGGCTCTAGATTGTCCAGGGGACCCTAGCACAAAACATCTGAGGTCTGATATAATTGTTAAATATGATAAATTATGTCGAAAGTACTTAGCATGTAGCCTGATCCATAGAAAGTACTCACTATTGATATCATTAATGTTAATATCGCTGAAAAGAGTTCCACATAAACAGTCTGTACAAAATAAAAACTATGAGAGTAAGAAGATGCAGTTCTCCACGTCAGTTTATTCTGATGATTTCAGAATGTGACCCCCACCATGTCACAGCAGTAATACCTGGACATGTGAAGTTCTTATCAGAGAGAGCCTGGTAAATGCCTAACAACTCAACCAGCCTCTCTCTGCCACTTGTTCACCATTAGGCAGAACTCCAGAGAATCAAGCCCATTTCAATATTCAGTAAAACTTAAAAAACAAAACAAAACTGTGAATAGTACAGTTTAGAATCCAAAATAATTTACTTACATATCAAACTCATTTTGTACTACCTGTGATTCCTGTTTTTCTGGTATAGATAATCAAGAAGTGTCTGTCCACAAGGTAATGGGTTCAAAATAACAATGATGCAATCTCTTTCTTTCTTGAAGAAAGAAAACATATGAAGTCATTTTTACCTAAGCTATCCTGTGGAGTTAGAAACAGCACGCATGTTCGAAGGAAACGAATCGTGGGAGGAAGTCAAGCACAATTGGTAAGCCTGGATGAAAAGTTATCATGTTCACTCTTCCCAGAAAGAGCCCAATTAGGGGGAAAAGGTGGGGGATGATGTAATTACAAGACACTGGGATCTTAGAACGGAAATATCTTAAGGGTACCTCTTTGTAACATTGTCTGGTAGAACGGTAGTGACCACACAAATGTCTTTTATAGGGGGACTTCCCATGGCAGGTGGCCATTAAGGATGATGACAAACTTAACTGTGGAGGAATTTATATTGGTGGCTGTTGGGTTCTCACTGCTGCACACTGTGTCAGGTAAAAAAATGTCTCCAGTAGATCTTGGATAAAAATGGGTAATATAGATTGTAGTAAATGATGAGAATCTGAGAAAAGTCACTGAGAAGATGCACTTTATTAACTGCTAAATACCCTCACATATTCATGACTGGGTCCCCAGATGTCTATCACCCAAACCTACTGGCTCCCCATAGACCAAACTGTTTGATTGTGGGTACTAAGAGCAAAGCCTTGTTAGGTACCAAGTTGCTTCACTTGGCTCATGTGCATGGTGGAAAAGTCAGTAGCTACTGCCTACATTTTATAGAGCTGGGACCAAACTGGAGGAATTTATGACTAAAGAGTTTGTAAAGAGATACGACTCGCTCAGCACTGTCTCTAGTCTCACCTAACAATGTTGTGAAGGAGCTGAATGCTTTCAAAAGCTCCAAACAAACAATTCATATTTTTCCCATCCATGGACACTTAACTAAACTTGCTATGTGTTTCAAGCAATAAAGGAACTGATAAAAGCTCAAGGCTAATTAACTCACAAAGCTAATCAACGGCAGCACTGACTGGCTTCTCTGTGATTCTAGATGAATTGCTTACATGGGATACGAACTCAAAAGCTGTGGTCTAAGCCACTGTACTGCACCACTCTAGGGGGCACTACTCGCACTAGTTGGAAGTTCCCCAGGCTGCAGTGGGTCCTTACTGAAGGACCATGAGTCACTAAGGGATCAGCCAGCTGTGGAGTTGGAGGAGATTGACAGCTGAAGAACAAATCATGTTATTCCTCTCTCTGACAGAGTCGTGAGATTCTCAGGTCAGAGAAGGGGAGTAGGCATAGTGGTTCTGATGCAGCACTGGCATGTGAGAGGATATCTTCTGAAGAGATGGGAAATACAAGTTTTATGCTGGGCCAGTAAGGTTAAATATAAATGACAATGCCCAAAAGGTATTAAAGAGAAGGTACATTTCCCTTAGAATTAAAAACTAAATGGAAAATTTAACCTGGCCGATTAGGCCCCATATGATCTGACCCCTACTTACTTTTGTGGGTCTCATCTTGCCCCATAGCACCATCTCCTATTGCACCCACTCTGGACTGCATCTTCTCACCCTCATAACTTTTTATTTTGTACAGACTGTTTATGTGGAACTCTTTTCAACAACATTAATATTAGCATTAATGATATCAATAGCGAGTACTTTCTATGGATCAGGCTACATGCTAAGTATGTTCTACATAGTTTATCTTACTGAATCATTATATCAGACCTCAAAGGTTTTGTGCCAGGGACCCCTGGACAATCCAGCACCAGTGAGCCAGGGAATGTTTTTTTAGTCATTTGACATACTCAAGATACCCTGCTTCCTTCCTATAAAACCTAAAAAGCAAACCAGTTGCATAGAGTCAATTCCAACTCATGATAACCTCATGTGTTAGAAAGCAAAACTGTGCTCCATGGCTGTGTCCTTTTGGGACCAGATTGCCAGGTTTTCCTTCTAAGGCACCTCTGCGTGGATTCAAACCACCAACTCTTGGGTAGTAGTAGAGTGCTTAATGTTTGTACTACCCAGGGACTCCTCCCTCCTGCAATGGAACCTTCTATGTTGTTTCCCCTGCCTTACATGATCGTCCCTGCCCTCTTTACCAAGTTAATGCTATTCTTTATTCAGATCTCTGAGTGCTCAATCTTCACATCTTCAGAGAACCTTCCCTGACTCCCTGAAGGCAAACAAAGCTCTCTTTACAAGTTCTTAGAACTCCTTGTACTATTCATTCTTCTCACTTTTCACAGCTGAACACATGCTCGTCAGTTTCATCTATTCAATGTTGCCTCTTTCCATAGATCCTGAGTTCTAGGAGGCAGGAAACATTTCTCATTTTGCTTATTGCTGCAACCCCAGTGTCCAGCACAGTATCTGGTATATAGTAGGTGTAGAGTATTATTGAGTAAATGGAATTAATAAACAAAATTAATCCTTAACCAATGCTTAGGATCTTCGATCTTGATAAACAACCGAAATTAATATGAAGCACAGCATCTGGGAACACTAATGAAGGAAACTTACCCGCTGAAGAACACACTATGTTATTTCCTTCTTTGACAAAGTTTTTAAATTCTCAGGTCAGGAAAGTGGTGTAGGCATAATGGGTCTGGATTCAGACACACAAGTGCCCAATGTAAGCAATTTATCCAGAAGCACAGAGCAAGCTAGTAGTTCTGGAGTAGTATGAGAGTTAATTAGCACTGAGCTTTGACACTTCCTTTATCACCTAGCATGCTTATCAAATATTTTTAAAGGTATATGATGGGAAAAATGATTTGTGTATTTGGAGCCTTTGAATGCATTCATCTCTTTAAATAACAAAAGTACCCCAAGCACTTCATTAGATCCTAGGACAGTGTTTAACTATAAGGTATAGCACCAATGTTTATAATTACCTGACTCATCTCTTCTAAGGATAAATTATGTTCAGTTTATGCTGTTTGAGAAGGTATAAAATAGATAGAAAATACATTTTTAAAAGATCTCTATTGAGATGTCTAAAATAAATTTTGTTGCTTAAGGAAAATCCATTTTGTGAAATACTTGATTTTTCTGAAATGTTAGGCCATGAGGTCACTATTTAGCACTTTACTTTCAAAAGGAAGTCTCTGGATGGTGCAAACAGTTAAGCGCTTGACTACTAGCTGGAAGGTTGGTGGTCTGAACCCACCCAGAGGCTCTTTGGAAGGTGACGTGGGGATCTGCTTCCAAAAGGTTACAGCCTTGAAACCCTATAGAGCAGTTCTACTCTGCACACATGGATGGGGTCATCATCAGTCAGAGCTGATTCAACAGCAACTAACAACTTTCAAAAGAATAAGGAAAAAACAAAAACAGCTATATTCCATTGAAGTGACTCTCCTGTTCCCTGAGAAAATGATGGTAGATCAACAATTTGGTTGAAACCATGAATTGAAAATTGGTATGAAAATACTGTGAGGCATAAGAATAGGCAGTATTTAGCTAATCCACCATTTCAACAAGATTTTTAATGCTATTCTTCCAGGTGCCATGCAAGGCACTGGGGTTACAGAGACCCCATTCTTGACTTCAAGTCTAGCAGGAAGAAAGCCGTACAAGCAAATAAATACAATGCAGTAGGAGGAGGAAGTCCATCTTCAAGAATCAGGATAGTGACTGCTATAGTCTTCAACCCTAACACACTCTGCAGTTGGCAGAGTAATGAAAGATTGTGTGCTTCAACTCTCAGTTTCCTCCAACACATTTTTGCACCCTGCATATATATCTTCAGTGACAGGACACTCACTCTACAGGCAGCAAACTTATTCTACTTCTGGGCATCTCTCACTTTAGTGAGTTCTTTATGTTCCTGATATTGAGCAGCTAGATGGATTATTCCTCTATTTCTTTCCCCATAGAACACAATTCTATCCTAAGTAAATTTAATCTCCCTACTTCATAGCAACAAGAATAGAAAAATATGGGAAAATGAAAAAGGTCTTTTAAAAGAGAAAATATAAAAATGAAGTGTCAAAATCTACATTTATATTATTAGTTCCATCAATATAATTTAGTTCCCTTTTCCTTCCCATTATAGAGTCAGTAAAGTTCATCGTTATCAAATATGGACAACATTAGTAAACTGGATAAGACCCAACAATGAGATATTAATTTGGTATGTGAATAAAGTTATTATCCATGAAAACTACAATGGAGCCACCTATGAAAATGACATAGCTTTGATTGAAATGAAAAAACTCCCAACCAAACGTGAATGTGAGCTGTTGGGTTCCATCCCTGCCTGTGTCCCCTGGTCTCCGTATCTATTCCGACCCAATGATAAATGCATCGTGTCTGGATGGGGCAGAGAAAAAGGTATGTGTTTTATACTTTCTCTCTCTCTCTTTTTAAATTGTAGTGAAAATACACACCAAAACATTCATCGATACAATTCCTACATTTACAATGCAGTGACATTGATTACGTTCTTCATGTTGTACAGCCATTATCACAATCCTCTTCCAAAGTTTTTCACCACCATTAACATAAACTCAATGCTTCCCCAGGCAAAAACTCCATCTTTCCCCCTTCCTCCCATCCAGACAATTCCGACTCACAGCAACCCCCACTGGGTTTCCAGGGTGGTAAATCTTTTTGGAAGTAGATTGTTCCACCTTCCTTCCAAAGACCAGCTGGTAAGTTTGAACCATCAACCTTCTGGTTAGTAGGCAAATGCCTTAGGCACTGCACCACCCCCAAAGGGTTGCTATGACTTGGAATTGACTCCATGGCAGGGGAGTGAAATAGGGTTTCCAAGACTATAAATCTTTCTGGAAGCAGACTGCCATATCTATCTCCCCCAAAATTGCTTCTGGGTTGGAACCACTAACCCTATAGGAAGCAGCTGGATGCTTTAACCACTGCACTACCAGGATGCTTGTCTCACCTCCGGTATCCATCAATGATCCTTGATTTATATGTATTTGCTTATTGCACATAAGTGAGATCATACAGTATTTGTCCTTTTGTGACTAAATTATTCAACTCAGCACAGTATTTTCAAGGTTTATCCATGTTGTGGCATGCATCAGGACTTATTTCTCTTTATGGCTGAGTAGTATTCCATTGTATGTATATGCCACATTTTTGTGATCCAGTCATGTGTTTATTGTTATTTATGTTGTTTCTACCTTCTTCTTCTTCTTCTTTTTTTTTTTTTTAATTGTGATTGGGTGAAGATTTACAGAGCAAATTCACTTTCCATACAGAAGTTCATATATACTTTGTCTCATGT